AAATGAAAACGGTCAAAAAGATTAAGTACAATGAATGGTATCGAGTTAAGGTTTTTACTGGCATGACAGCGAGTGATGCGGTATCGTTCTGACTCACTATTCGTATGGAAGATATTCAATAGTATATGTAAAAAAAACACTGACTACTGTTATCCCACCTTGCGTCGTGTATATTTAGACCCTACGATGAACTTCGGTGCTGTACCTACCAAAGAAGATCATTTTCCTTCAAAACGTTCGAAGAGGATGCACTCAGCATGTTTGTCGCATAAAAAGCTTACGAAAAGCGACATCCAACTAGTGTATTTCATATTTTACTTGTAATGAATGCTTGCTTACCATAGAGATTCCAACTACTAACCATATGTATCACACTTTGGCTGAGTTCGATTGGAGAACGAGCATCAGCCTGCTCGCAAGGACATTATTTATCGTATCGTCACTTTGTTTACTGCGAAGAAAACACTGATCTGCATCTACAATATCGCTGATCATATATATGGTTGGCCCTTGAACCTGTCATCCTTGTAATCCTGAATCTGAATCAACGTTATGATGAAGTGTGGTCTGGAATTGAAAGGAGCAAGTGTGGTGTAGAAATGTATCATATAATTTATCGTCTTTTCAGCCGAACTCGACGAGTCAAACCCATCGAGTCATACTCAACGAGTTGATTTGCGAGTGGACCTCGACTAAACGAAATTGAAGAGATAAACTAAATTCGGCGAGTCAAACTAATCTTGACAGACCGAACTTGACGATTGAATGAAATCCGAAGAGTCGAACTCGATGATGCAAACAAACTAGACGACACTATCCTCGACGAGTTGAACTCAGCGAGTGTAAGAAGATCTTCAATTGATTTTACTTTTATTTTGCATAGAATTACCTGTGCGGTCTGGATTGTGCCTGCCGTTGAGCTTCGAGAGGCATAGCTCGTACAGGTTCCAAATGGTGAGCCGAGAGTATGAGTCGGTCTGGAAAGCAATATATACAAGCAAACGTTGAGTCTTGTCACTCGACAAGACGGTGATCGAATAGATGCCACCCTGGTAAGACTTGTCGAGCGACAAGTTATTTGGCCTCAGCCAAAGGCGCCTTATTTCTTCTGCTCTAGCGCATACTGCGCTCGGTGACCTGTGGAAGCGCTTAAGCGTCTTCTTCAACCCTTGTTGTGAAGCCATAGGAAGAGAAAGGTTATAAAGCTGTTGAGATCAAGCCGTTCTATGGAGAAACTTGTTGCAGAATTTGATTCCGACGAGAGCCACAACTAAACCTGAAGGAACTAATCGTGAATGGATCTCGTTAATCCCAAAGAAACAGCCCAAATCGCCGACTATACCTGGCGATTTGTGGTATTGGTGCTTCAAATTCTTATTTTTACAATGTTGACCAACTACGATCCCACATAGGTATACTGCCTTTCAAACTCACGATAGATTGGCGAGGGGATTTTATCGGACTGGATGGTACTCCTGATACGGGGCATTGTATCATGCGAATACTGCCTGTTAGATGCAAGTTCATTGTTGCCTATTTATATAGGATGTTATTCTATACGTGTTATTTGCACACATTAAGCATCTACAAGGAAAACTTATATTGTTTAAGTACACGATCATTCTATTACTCGCCTAAAATCGTATTCGACAATGTAAGTGAAGTCTATTAGTCATAAGATTTTGGCTATAACACTTACTTGGACCGTTGTAGATCCGAAAACACTGCAAATGGGTCGATTCTGATGCATCACCTATGTATACTAAGCTCATTGAGTTTGGCTAGTTATGATCGAGGTCGTGTGTCTTGTGTATGACGACGCAGGTTATCGATTACAACTTGGTTCTCTTGTCCAAACAAGCTACATGTTCGGAAATGGATGATGACCGAACTTATGCGTTCTGAGCATCTTGAGGCTGCTCATCAGACGCACCTGTGCTGAAATCGTTAGATTGTGAATTACGTGTATTTTTAATACGGAATAGCTCTGACTATCGTGTAGATGGTGATCTATCAACTTTGCAGTGATTGCGACGGTCTCATTGCCTCTTGTCACGAAGTTGCACTTTCATGGGCTTGATCGGCCGGCGCATTTATGAGAGCTGTATGCAATCTAGATTGTATTGCAAAATTGGCGTCATTGTCTTTGCGGCAATCAGCCTTAACATTTACTTAAATACTCGTGCATGCAATCGTTTTTCGCACTATTCTACAGATTCGACAAACCTGAATAACTTTCTACGCTCGTTTACAACAATTCGACCCATAATGGAGCACAATGAAGCTCATTTAAGTTTGACTTCGGATGTTTCCAAACGTCGCCTTCCGATACGTGTCAATGCAACATGCCTCAGTATCAAGAGAGCGCTGCTCACGCCCATATATTATTCAATGCAATTGGTTCAAAAAATGCTTCGGATGACGCTACCCGTATCATTCGATACATTGCAGGTTATCGAGAAGGATGTCGCTAGTGGTAACGTTATCACTCAAGGATCTCCAGATTACCCTAAGCGATGGTTGTGTACAATTTAGCACCCTGCGTTCCGATAACGCTACTTAGACTTGTACTACTGATCAGAATGCATCACGACAACTCCACTATCGGATCTCGGTTGCTCGGTCATATCGTATTTGCAAGAGAACTACTAACAGGTGACATGCCGATGAATTTTGCAAGCGTTCGGTCTCGAGCGCTAAAGCAAGATGATGATAAAACGGTCCGATGTTTGGCACAGACAGATCCTTATAATTCGATCGGCTCCAGTTTTACAAACATAGCAGATGAGGCACATCTTAATAAGTGGTCGCTGCTATCTTGTAAGAACAATGAAGAAGGGGAATTGTTGTACTCATTCCCTTTTTGGTTGCATTCACTTCTTATTCAAAGTCACGTGGCACTCATTACCATACATAAACTAAGGTCTGACGCACTCACTAGGTAAAAAATATTATCGATTCAAATTTGAAAGCTCTTAAGGTTCGCTTTAGTAGCTATTCCAAATCTCGTACCGGACACCCACATCCATAAACACATTGTCCAATAGCTGCACATTTATCAGACTGATGTGTGCGGCCACACTAGTTGAGGGACATTAGCTCAACATTTTTTGCCACTGCTTATTGAGGCATCTATTCTCGACGCCGAGACCGATGCCGATTGAATGGCGTCGATTTTCGAATGTTTGCAAACCGGACATCGATTCCGTGGCGCCTAGCGTGGATTACGTACGGTATGCCGCCCCTTTATTCCAACGCATCGGAACGATTGACTGAAGGGCAACTACTTCTGTTGTGGCGTATTCGTCTACATTTCCCACATCTCCGTTATTATACGTGACCTTCCTCGTATGTAAATTGGTTTGCGTCTCGCTTCGTACTGTTTTTGGGATATTGTTTGCGCCGACCGGTCTTCCGCGGGGTTGTGGTTTCACAAATGGCGATTTGAACTGGACAATAGCGTCAACCGTGCTGTTATTGCGTGAATGGTAGCATCTCTTCACATACCGTTGTCGTTCGGCGGATGCAAAAACTTCAATCCTGATGTCGAAGACAAGTCGGTTACATCTATTGAATCGGAGAATCAGAAAGTGTGGCATTAGTTACCATTTGCTTCCCCTCTGTCGTGGCTGCTTTTCCAGAATAAGCGTTATCTTTACAGTACCGTTTCCATGATGCATGGCTAAAAGTGGTGAAATATAAGTCGCGAAGAGGGCAAAAGGTTCTATTTGAATTAAGGAGTGGAGAACGAGTCGGTTGCATCCGTTGTATCACGTGGACGTGGCCAAAGCTTTTGGGCACGTGGTTCAGACAAAAGGGAATCGAATTGAAAAGGGAGTGAATACAACAAATTCCTATCATAATGTGTAATGCGTAACTTAAAAGGGTGCGAATATAACCGAAAAGGGAACGAAGATAAAAGGTACCCCAAAGAAAGCATGAATTTGTGATAACTCACTCCCGACGTAAAATATGACGAAAAGGTGTAAAAACCATGGGTTTCGATGACTAGATGTACAGCACACCCACGTATAATTGTTTAATTAGTCCTGTGACTGTGCCTGTATCGGAAAAAGTGCGAGTTGGCATGTTATTGTGTGGGGACAATGTGCTCCTTGCGATTCCACCGTTGAATTGAACTCGGAATATCGTGTCACAGGCTACGAAAGGCACGCGCTATTCTGACATGGCGTCCAAGTCTTAAGGCATAATGTATGTGATTGAACGAGACGTCGAACGTTTGCAGTTGTGCATGTAAGCAAATGCAGTGCAGGCCTACCCTCATACCTGAACTTCTGCTCGAAGTACGTCTTCACCCCCATGACCCAAATCGGGCTGCCTACCTCGTGGTAGTCTATTTGCAGCGATAGGAGTCCGGACAAAGCGCCTATCCGGCAGAACAGCCCTCAACGCTGTCCCGATCCGATCGGTCAGGAGCACACGGATCGCAGGGTCCCTTTACGCTGAACAATCACCTGAACTCCTACACACACTGCTACCAAACGCAATGCGGCGCACACATCTTCGTCGTACTATGTTAGATACGGCGGCGTCTATTTCGGACCATTTATGGATGTACCCAGCGCAGTGCCGATCAGACCGAATACTATTTTGTATGGTTGCGGTTGATTTCGGAGCAATCAAGCAGGACAAAAAGATTACTATGGGGTCAAACAGGCCGGCGTAAACACACGTCAACGACAAGCGCAAGACAAGAGACCGTCCCGTTATCGACTAAACTCGCCACAAACGTCCTGTCGTGACGCCACAGTGACACGAATGGCCTGTCTCTTGTCGCTTCGTCATCGCCCAGGCCGCAATACCAGAGACACTGCTGAATACGAGCGCAGAAAAGCCGAGCGCAGAAGCGCGCGCGTCAAGGATTTCGATTGCCTTCTTCGTGCAGTCATAAGCACTCGATCGACGTTCAGGTTCACTCACTCACATCCACAGCCCTTGACGACGACCCGTTTCAGTGCCGTCGGTCAATCGCCGCCGCAATGTCTGCTGCGTCATCGCTTCGCGACGCGGCGCCTCGTGATGGCCACGCAACGCTACTGCCACCACCGCCAGTGCCACTGCCTTCGACGTCTCGAACCGCTAAAGCGCGTCCTGCTTCGGGTCGAAAGCGACGAAACGAGAGCTCTTCGGCCGAAAGTGCTCATGGCAAATCCACAAATCGGAAGCGGTACTTGCGATTCCTCAAGTCGCACGAGCTCAAATTCGGCTTAGCACCAGTTGCTCGGGACGTGACGACGGGGGAAGTCACGATCGTCGTGTGTCGCTTTTGCCAGTACTACGGGCGCGAGCAGCGACCGGACAAACAGCGCCGGTCAACGAAGAACGTCAAGTACTTTCGCAACAGCTTTCGGACAGACCAGTACCAGCAGCACCACGAGATCTCGCATGGCGAGAGGTGGCGACAGTATCAATTGTGCTCGGACGACGTCAAGAGCGTGTTTTTCCAGGTGCCTGAAGCAGCAGCAGCAGCAGCAGCGTCGGCGGGCCGACAGACTCGGCCGGTGCACCTCTCGTCGGCGCAACTCGACGTGGAGTTGGCGCCAGGCGAGATCTGGGCGCTCGACCCGACGAACGAGGAGAAGAAGCGGTGTTTTGACGTTGCAGCAGCGATCGTTGAAGTCGTTGCAGTGCTGGCAATCGGTGCGAGTGAAATGACCGTCGAGAGTGCGATGAGGAAGCAAAGCCATCGCGTGATTGCGCACGCACATGAAGCTCCGACAGGCGCCAGGGCGAACTGGTGTCCGCCCGACAACATGTTCCAATCGTGCAAGCTTGTGGGCTCCGCCACCGAGCCGATGTACCGTGTCATTGTGCACTCGCGGTCGCAAATCGACTGCATGGTGGAGCTCGCGGCCGCGGGGCTGTCGTTCCGTCAGATCTCGAGCGCCATGCAGTCGTTCTGTTCGCACGCTCCCGTGCTTCTTGCCGGTCTCACACCAACGAGCGGCGACGCGGCAAGCCACCACGTGGCAGATGCATGTTACCAGCGTGCTCGAAACGTGAGCTTGCACTATAGCGAAGACCAGACGGCAGAGTTCATCCGTCTGATCCTTGCAGCCAACTTGACGGTCACTTCGCGGCTGCTGCGGCGCAGCTGGGCGTTCTCGCTGGAACTACGCGCATCGATGGAGCATGCGCCGATGCGGTCGTATCTGGACTTCCGAGTAAAAGTGTACGGCCACGGCGCCATGCACAACGTGCACCTTGTATCGATCCCAGCATTCGAGAGCAAGTGCAAGGGGATGATGTACAACACGCTGGACAAGGTGCTGACCGCCGTGCTGCCCAGCTGGCGATACCGTCTCATCGGCTTGACCACGGACGGCGACGCGCGCATGCCCGCTCGAGTGCTCGACATTGTTGCCCGCTTGCAAGAAGAAGCTGCGATTCCAGTGGTCTACCGCTCTTCAAGCGCGTGCCATCAGCTCGACTGCATCGTGACAAACTATTACTCGTCTCTCCAAGGCGGCTGCTTCCTCCTGGTGCTCAAGGACCTCTCGAGCTACATCCGTCGGCGACCAGAGCTCCTCGCAGTCATGTCGCCGCCGCCGCCGCTTCCCGGCGTCACGACGGGCTCGAGCCGCCTGCACGAGCGGTGGGTCGCGCTCGGCCGCGAGACCAACTGGATCGCCGCGCACCGCGACGTCGTGTTCCAGCACCTCGAGACCGACCAGCCTCCGAGCGCGCCGGACGCCGCGTGGTGGCTGTTCTTTGCAGTCGCCGACTGGGTCGCCACGCGCACGAACGAGACGTTCGCCAAGCTGCTGTCCAAGCACGCGGTCATCGCCGACCACGTCGCGGCGCTCGCGTCGCTCTCGCGCGCCTGTGCCGCAGCATTCTCCGCCTCGGGCCCCGACACAGCCTCGTCGTCGTCGTCGTCCTCGTCGTCGTCCTCATCCTCGACGTCGACGTCGTCCCACGGCACACCCTTCAAGTCCCGCAGAGGCCGCGTCGCCCTGCACAAGTCGGGAGTGCTCGCGTTCCTCCGCGCCACGCAGCCGGCGCTCAAGTCGCTCCTCGCGGCCACTGACGCGCCAGTCATTGACCTCACCGCCGAGAACGTCGCCCTGTGCAGCGTGAACCTCATCGAGTCGCTGCTCGAGCTCAGCACCGAACTCAGCCACAACAACAACCACAACAACAACCACAACCACAACCACAACAACCACAACAGCCGCACGAGCGGACTGTCAACGCGCGCACTGACGGACTTTCTCCCGCCGACGCTGCCGCACGAGTGGGTCCACCTCAGCGATCGCGCGTTCGCGTCGCTGCTGCACGTGTACGGTCCGCTGCTCGCGCGGTCGCTCTCGCCCGCCGACATGGCGTCGCTGGGCCCCGAACTCGACGCGCTGCGACGCGCAGCAGCCACGGACTCCGTCTTGAGCACGGCGCTGGCCGCCTGCACGGCCGACACGCCGTTCCACGTGGCGTGGGCGCTCCTGCAGCGCCGCTACGCAGTGCTCGAGCGCGTCGCCGGCGGCTTTGCCAGCGTCTACGCCTGTGCCGCGTGGGGCCCCCGGACGAGCGACTTGGCGCTCTGCCGCAGCGATACGGATACGGCGCGCGTGCTGTTGGCCGACTTTGCGCTCGAGGGAACGCTCCATGCGCAGCAGTTTCCCGCGCTGAGGGCGCTGCAGGACGCGCGCGGGCTGAAGTAGCAGCAGTGGCGGACGGGGTTTGTTTGTTTTTTGGATCACGGGGGAAAAAAAGCGTTTTGCAGGGGTGGGTTTGGCCATCACTAGTTTAAAACAAAAACAGCGAGCGCGAGCGAGCTATTGTTACATTGGTGGATTGTTGGATTGGTGGATTATTGGATTGGTGTTTTCGTTGTTTGTTGTTTTGTTGTTTTGTTGTTTTCGTTGTTTGTTGTTTTGTTGTTTTGTTGTTTTCTTTGTCTTTTTGCTGCCGACCGAGCGAGTGAGCTACGGCATGTCGCGCTTCCTTGCCGAACCGCTGACGACCAAGAGCTGCGAGCACTTTGCCGCGCCGGGCATGGCGATTGGCAAGGCGAGCATGCAAGGCTGGCGCGACGCAATGGAGGTTTTTGGCGCTTTGGGGCGTTTTTGCTGCGGTCGAGACTGTTGTTGTTGCGGGATTGAGTTTTTCGACGGGTTTTTTTCGATGGGTTTTTTTCGATGGGTTTTGAACAGGACGTCGACATTGTCAAAATTCCCATGCACTCGGATGTACCGGATACGACGTGCGTTGCTGTGTTTGACGGTCACGGGGGATCGAATGTCTCGGCGTACATGTACGTGATGGTGCACTCGCTATCGTCTATGGGGACACCGGATACCGTTGTGACGACGTAGCGGTTGTCCACACGTGTGCGCTGCTGTTGATTCGGTTGTCGTGATTTTTACATTTGTCGTTGTCTTGTGACTTGTTACGCGTTTATGTTTGATACACTTTCGATCATCATTGTCCTCATCGTTGTCATTGTTTTATTCGCTTGCGATTATTGTCGCTTGCCTTTGTTTGCGGCTTTATCTGTGTGTATGTATGTGTGTGTGTGTGTTTTTCATGTTTCAATGGTGTTGCTTTCGTTCGGTGCTGTTGTTCCTTTGGCTTGTGTTGGTGTTGTGACGGTGTTGCAGTGCAGAGCAGATTGTAGGAGCGATCACAGCTACGGAAGCCTTCAAGAAGGACCCCAAGTCCCCCGAGTCACTGGCCGTTGCTCTCTGTGAAGGATTCATGGCAGCGGATGAAATGCTGAAGACCAATCCGGAGTATAAAACGTCGTCGGACGAAACAGGTTCCACGGGTCTGTTTGCGATCATCACGCCCAAGGACATCGTCTGTGCCAATGTGGGCGACTCGCGATGCATTTTGAGCAACTCGAAAGCTCCAGAAGTGCTGCAGCTATCGGTCGACCACAAGCCAGACTTGGAGTTTGAAAAGCAGCGCATCGTTGCAGCGGGAGGAACGGTCTTCCGGGGACGCGTGTGCGGCGGTGTAGCGGTCTCACGGAGCTTTGGGGACTTGTGGTTTAAGCGCAACACCGAGTTGAAAGCTCACCAGCAGCTCGTGACGTCGGAGCCTTGTGTGCGTGTGCATCGGCGGGACGCAGCAGACGAGTTCCTTGTGCTGTGCTGCGACGGTATCTATGACGTGATGAGCAACGACCAGCTGCGCAAGTTTGTCCGCAGCAAGCTGAAAAGCGGCGTGAAGGACCCCAAAGCGATTGCAGAGACGCTGCTAGATGAGTGTTTGGCCAAAGGCAGCCGCGACAATATGAGCGCTATCATTGTACTCTTCGATGGTGCCTCCAAAAAGTAGCTGGACAGTAAGTCGCAGCTGGATGGCCAGCACGTATAAGGCTGTGCACAGTTGAGTGTCACGCATGTCAATGGGATTCGCTGATTCGTGTCACTGCAACTGTTGATGTCTTGACATGTCAATGTTGTTGAAGGTGCTGCACTCTGCCGTGTTGTTTCACTATGCCAGGCTCGACTTCTTCTTCGAGTGCATATTGGATTCCGATGCAACAACTGCTTCTCGAATTGCTGATCGACGCATACACTTGCTAACAATGCGAAACGGTTGCTATGAATGCGAGATAGCACAGTACATCACAACGCTGCAACTGTGGTCGACAAAGGAAGTACGCTAGCAGGCGAGTATGTCAAGTTAGACCCGTTGGTTGTTTCTGTATTGCACAGAATAGCACTCCCGACATGGTCGGACACGGAGGTACTGTTCGACAGCATTGCTCACTCTGCATCAGCTGTCGCATATATCGACATCCGCATGTTGCTGTATTCTAGTCGTGACGGTAAATTGTACGATTGTTTTGTGCGGAAAGACAATGGGTATGGCTTTGACTCTACAGGACCACGAAAGTCATCTAGCGAGCTATCCTGAGCATACAAAAAGTAGCGAATACTTTGCAGAACACAAGAGCAGACATATAGAGCGCGACTTACAATGACAAAAGGTGTCGAACCTGACGGAAGATGGTCCAAAGCTGGATGGCAAAAACAATGGCGCGGAATAGTGTTGGCATGCTGTGATCGATTGGTGGGAAGATGATGACGTTTGCTTGACAGTACTGTTGGCGACAGGCGAGAAACGCTTGTGATGGCAACCGCTCGCATGTGGAGTTTGCAAAGCTGATACTGCTTTTTCCACTCTCGGCGTGAAAGCAGAAGTGCGCTACGACTGACTGGACGACAAGAGCGATACCATCTTCAACGTCAAGTACACTGCAGGGGGAAACGAATGCGTCACGATGAATGTCTCACGTGCCATACGTACGCTAATGACAAACGACTGACGCGGACTTGCCAAAAAGAATGGCGAACGTCTAGACAAACGTGGTGTCTGGTAGGTAAACGAAGACTCACAAGTTACGCGACAGCTGTTGTCACGTTCTGGTTGTGCGACGTGCAGGATACTACATCGAGTTGCAGTGCAGAAACGGAATGCAGGACTGCGCTGGCAAAAGGCAGTAGAGACGAACGGCCACATGGTCGAAACAAAGTTTGATACGCGTTCCTTTTCACTGCAACAAACTTTCGGCGGAAAAGTTGCCAGGACCCATCCAAGACGCAATTCCAGCTGCAAGAACCTGCGTTGAGCTTGTGCGCTGATGCCACATACTGAGACAGGCTCGTGCTCCGACTTTGCTGATCTTGAAAGCGCATTTTGCATGCTCGGCGATTCGTGCACGCTCAACGCTTCTTCGTCAGCGGGTCCCACATCAATCCACTGGGTCAAGTTACTGATCGAGTGAGCTCGTGGGCCATAGTCTGACGTCACAACGTGGTCCATTCATTGGTTTCGTGTTCGCTACGCTTTTACTACACCGCAGCTGGAAACGCCATCATGAAGCTGCAAAAGTCAATGAAGATGTACTCCGTCAGGAAGTAAAAAAGCGTGGCCAGGAAGATCGAAATAGGTAGCGCTGGTAGTGCTTTGTGCAACACGGCCAGCAGAAAAAGTGTTCCGCCGAGACCCTGTCATCACAACAAACACACACATACAAACAGTCAGTCAGAGACGTGCAGAGCCATCACATGTCACGGCAACACAGACGCTCAGCATGATCTCTTACCATCACGATGCACACAAACGTGACTGCAAACGTCGAAAAGTCCTTGATAGCAGCCCGGCCGACCAGCACGCTGTAAAAAATAAAGTCACCTAGTCCCAGCTTAATGGTCTTGTCGTCTTCGTCTTCCTCCTCGCGTTCGCGTCTGCGACGGTCACGTCGCGCTTGCAATGGACACGGCATATCTATCGAGCACGAACAGACGAAGTACTTGTGGAAGATCAGCAGCCACAGCCGATCTTGCGTCTCGAAGAACTTCTCGGCGACCTGCGGGGCTTTCCACGCATCTTCAGGACTGAACGTCTCATAGAACACCGTGAGCAGACTTACAAGCGCCTCCAGCGTCTCGCACTCGTACGTCGTGAAGCTAGACTCGGCCACATTGCGCGGTCGCTGGCCCGAAGACAGTACCGGGATCGGTGACGACTCGGTGCATTCTGACGTTGAAACAGCGGCGACCGTCGACTCTTGGCTCGACCCTTGAGGTGGTGAAGCACGCATAGCATCATTGACGGTCGCGGCAGCGCTAGCATCATAGTTCTGATGGCTGTTGCTAGACGACGTCTGTGAGGTCGCAGACGACGGCTGCCGTTCGACATCAAGCGTGGTATCCACTGACGCTTTCTTCGGGCGCGACGCTGTGGCTCCCTGTTGCTTCTGTCGGTGATGGTTATGCGTGACACCGTCTCGCACATCTGCTTCGTACAGCAGCCCTGGAAGGGGTGCTTGTTTCTCCTGGATCAGTCCAATGAGGTACTTGAGCGGTCCACAGGGCGTCAGCACGGCACAGAGGTCGTAGCACGCAAACAAGACGCAAAACGTAATGGTCGTCCACTCGGGCCACATGGAAAACTCCCATGCTAAGATGACACTGACCATGACCAAGTAGCCATTCTGCACGAGCTTTGAGATGCCTTTCTGATAAAAGATGGAAATCACACCCACGACGCCAAAGTTGAGCATCACAAAGAGGAACGACGGCCAGTCCACGGACCATCCAAACTGGTCGTTCACCATCTCGTCCACGAGTTGGCCGCCCACGAAACTCAAGATCGCCGCCGAGGCAAACATAATGTACCCACTCAGGAACTTCATGCAGTTGTACTTGTACAGCAGCGCCATGCCAAACGTCAAGACGGCAATGGCACAGATGATCACCAGTGCGTTCACGAGCGACTTGCCAAAGCCAGCGCCGCCGCCGCTGCTGCCACTACTGGCGTTCGCGCCCGAGTCGCCGTAGACCAAATACGTCGACATGGACGCCTCAATGCTCTCGCTGCGGTAGTTGACGACCACGAGACTCGCGACGATCATTGTCACGCACACGGGGAACACAATGGCCCAAAACGAATTGATCCCGTGCATGAGGTCGTCGTACGTCTCGTCCGGCGCGTCTGCCGCAGTAGCAGCAGCAGCAGCAGTAGCTGTAGCGGGTGTGTCGCCGCCATTGGGCGTCGTGAGTTTGTCATAGTCCACGGGCGTATCCAGCGGCTCGTCCTGTTGGTCCGTCGACTCGGACGCGTGGGCGACGTACGCGCCCGCGTCCTGCGGCATAGTAGTGGGGCGATCGAGGGGCTCGAGGCGACAAACAACTGCTCGTGCTGCTTCTTCGTGCGACTGCTACGACTATTGGTATAATATTGTTATTGGTATTGGTATTGGTATTGTTGTTATTGTTGTTGTTATTGGTGGGATTAGTGTTGTTGTTGTTGTTGTTGTTGGGCCTATGGCGATTGGTAATGGAGCTGCTGGTGGGGCGATGTGGGTGTGTGCTTGTTTGCATATTTTGTGGGAAACGAATTCGAGAGGGTCGAGGCGCGCGCACGGTGGACTGGCTGCTTTTTTGCTCTTGCGGTTTGTATGGCGGTGGCGGGCTGGGGGTTAGCCGATTGCACAGAAAACGGCCACTTGGGCCCACGCAGAAACGAAAAGAAAGGGAAAATAGGGAGGAAGAGACAGTTTGTGGGCACGTGAAAAGACACAAAAGAGAGCGAGAGACGACGACGTGCAGTTGTCATAGGAGACACTGGTTTTTGGCCACATGCGATGTCGTTGATCCGGTGCAACGCCTTCTGTCTCGGCCTTTCGCCGGACAAGATCAAGGCATTTATTGGTACTGGTACTATCGCTTGGGCGAATGCTCTTGTAGTTGCGGCTGTTCTCGGAACGAGACGGTCGATCGGACGACGTTTTCTTATGGTCGTTGGCGGTCCGCCGTGGACCTGCACTTGAAGCGAGTGGCACGTGTGCAATGCTTCGGATATCAGGATGTCGTGAGGTTGAATAGAGCCTGCGAGTGGGCTCGATCGAGTCAGTGCGACGCAGGAAAAGTCGCGCGAACGTGTGGACGAAAGCGCGTGAGTGTGTGTGTGTGTGTGACTAATACGTCGAGCGCGTTCCCTGCAAAGCGACAACGCACTGCTATGGGATGTGCACCAAATATCGACGTCGCGTGTTGTATGTCTGCGACTCGAAATGGGGCAAAAAGGGACTTGTCGGTATTGGGCTCTTTGGCTGATCCAAATGAGCTCTTGCATCCATTCGCTCGGACGAGCAACAAAAAGCGACTTCTGTATGGGAAGTATACATCTCGGGCAAATGTGAGGTTTACCACTACATGTGGACAAGCGCGATACAAATGTGGACACAATCTCTGCTACACTGGGTGCGGCAGCAAAGACCGACAGCCTGTATTGAGACAGCATTAGCCGCATGCGTAATGACCCTCACATCGTTTCTTCCCCGTATGTTCACCTACCCTGATCGATGGACCAGCTTGTTTTATGTTGAAGCAGCAGAGCAGCAGTAACGACTTCCGGTGGACGCTTGCGCTATGTAGCCCCATCCACCCTCCGCTACCATCGAAGCCCTTGCACGTTATTCGCGCGAGCGATCGACCTTCCGAAGGCCGTCCAGTGCTGCCACGCGATAGGCTTCGGCCAACGTCGGGTAGTTGAACACGGCGTTGCGAAAGTACTCGAGGGTACCTTCTGTGGACATGACTACCTGTCCAATGTGAATAATCTCCGTGGCGCCCTCGCCAATAGCGTGGACGCCAAGCAGCTTGAGCGTCTTTGGGCAGAAAATGATCTTGAGAAAGCCCGGCACACCTCCAAGCATCTGTCCCTTCGCCAGCTCTTCGTAACGAGCCACGCCGACCTCGTACGGAACCTGCTCCCTTGTGAGCTGCTGCTCGTTCTTGCCCACCATCGAAATCTCCGGTACAGTGTAAATACCGAACGGAAAGACCTCGCCAGAGCGCATGCGAGTACGCACACGATCCGGGTCATCCATCTTTTTGTCATCCGATATTTCTTTCGTGTAAAATGACTTGGACGTGCGCATATGGACAGAAGCAAGACGCCCTTGCTCCATCGATGTCGATGCGAGTCCCGGGAACCCAATGATGTCACCAGCTGCATAACTACAAAGATCGCACACATTGGTGAGCATTTACCGCTGTTTGTCAACAGCCGACCGACATCGCACGTACATGTGAGGCACGGCAGTCTGGAAATTGTTGTCGACTATAATCCGCCCGCGTTTGTCCGGCGTGAGACCCACTGCCTCCAAGTGTAATCCCTCCACGTTACCCTGGCGTCCGACCGTGTACAGCAGACCGTCACCAACGACAGTCTTGCCGCTTTCCAGGTGCACGAGGACTTCACCTTTCGCAGATTTCTCGACACTCTTGATGATTTCGTCGACAAGGAATCGAGTCCCTGTCTGTGCCATGGAATAGCACAGCGCTTCCGAAACCTCCTTGTCTGCCATGTTGAGGATCTCCTTGCGGCCGTCGATCACCGTGACGTCCGTACCAGGGATGATAGTCATCATCGACGCGTACTCCATTCCCACAACCCCGGCGCCAACAACAATCAGCCGGCGCGGGACCGCTTTCACCTTGCCCCACAGCAACTGGTCGCTGTCGAAAATCGTCTCACCGTCGAACGGAATGTCCGGGCGACGAGCCGGCCGAGTGCCCACACACACTAAGAAATTGTCCGCCGTTAGCACACTGCAGCACGCATCCACATGCATATAATAGCACAAACAACAGAAGCTCGACCGTTTAGTACAAAGTGCATCGAAAGCGAACCACTCCATACGACCCTTTCTAGCACTACCAATAGCGCAGCCGTCGTACCGCTTGCAGATGTTTGCACTCGAGTGCCGTTTCGTATCCGTCGCCGTCTCGTACGACTCGTTCGACAGCACTGCAATCATGTGGCTGTTTCCCGGCATGAATCTCGCTGTGCCAGTGATCAGCTGCACGCCATTACGCATCAACTGATGACGCGTAATGTCCGTCTCCGCTTTCTCGACTTTGGTCACACGCTGCAAGATGTCTTCCACGCCAAAGCGCTTGCTCGGTCCTGCTTGGCCGTTGTAGAATGCTCGATGACGATAGCCCGTTAGATGCAGCGCGGCCTCTCGGAAGGTCTGTAGCACAGATCAGGCCGCACGAACCAACGTCAGTACACGCTGAAGCAACAAGTAGCTCTTCGTGGCACTAGCAGTCAACGCAACATGCATCTCGCTAACAACTAGTGAGCAAATGATCCAGTTGTATCACTCAGTCACAGCAACAGTCACATTGACTGCTCATCGCTTCAGGCTGCACCTTGGACGGCACAGTGCCCGTGTGCACGCAGACGCCCCCCAACATGTCCCGTTTGTCCACAATGGCCACGGATTTGCCGTGTTTGGCGCTGTCGATCGCGCACTTCTGGCCGGCAGGGCCGCTGCCGATCACAATGAGGTCAAAGTGCTCGCTGGCCCGCAGCTCGCGCAAGGTCTCGGTCAGCAGCTGTTTGTTGGCGACCAGTCCAGCGCTGTCGGATCGGGAGGAAGCGGCAGCGCGCGCAGGTCGCGACGTAGCGAGCGACGGCGCCAAGCGACGCAGGAGCTGCGCGGACATGGCAAAGATTGGGAAGTGGATGACGTGCCACATCAGATGCACATTATTATCGGACCGGACGGAACCCAAATTGGCCGCCGCCGACTGCGCGACGCTTGGGACGGGTACCGATGAGCTGGAACATGTGACATGAGGGATTGTCTCATATGTAAAGGGACCCGAAACTGTCGCTCGATCGCTCGATCGCTCGGTCGGTCGGTCGGTCGGTCGGTCGGTCGGTCGGCAATATTTGCAGTAGGATGGCCCTCTTGCGTGAAAATGGCCGACGGCGAGATATTGGGCGCATGCATTGGTAAACAATGGTCTTTCTCTCTCTCTCTCTCTCTCTCTCTCTCTCTCTCTCTCTCTCATTCTCGCTTTCTTACTCGTTTCTTACTCTTTTACTCCATCTTTTTTCCTCATCATGTCGCTGGCCGTGACGACAACGACTGAATGACATGACGCGGCCGGTCGTCTGGACGAGGCGTTTTCCAAATCAGTTTACGTTGCGATGTAGCTCTACATCGAAGTATCCTATATTGTATGCGCAGATTGTACGCGGACGTCCACCTGACAACGTCTTCTTGCCGCGTGTCGGGCGCATCTGGACGCACAAGTTGTCCATCACGCAAGTACGCATTTGAGTTGGCAGTAGCGTTCATAGACGCAGCAAAGGTCCAAAAAGTGGGACGCACGACGCACTTCAAGTGCGTGCATTCGCAGCAGCAAGAACCAAAGAGAGAGAGAGAGAGAGAGAAAGTGGGAAAAAAGCGAGAAAAAAGCCCTGAGAAGGTCACGTAGAGATCGTTCCTATGCGTCATATACATAGTATGCCTTGCGAGAGAGAGAGAGAGAGAGCAATAGGCAGACAGAGCGGAAGAAAGAAAAAGAGAGAGAGGGGGAGGTCGCGAACGCCCCACAAACACACAGGTCGCAACCGCACGACCGGGCCCCATCCTACTGTCGAGAGCAGGATTATCCCAAGTCAAACGTGTTTCAGCGCGTGTCGTCGCAAATGTCCGACGCTAGCGCGAATATCCGGCAGGTAAGCGAATATTCGCGAACGCGAGCCACTCATTGATCGCAGCGACCGCAAAAGTCCCACTGGGCCCATTTTCGCACTCGGCACATAATCCGGCCACTTCGGCCCAGCACTGAACGAAAAAACCACTTTGCTGACGAACGACAGCGGCCGAAGCGCAGGAACGTGTGCAGTCGCTACTGCAGTCGCAGCGGAAGGAGCGCACGTAGAAGCAACAGCTGCAATTGCGCACGTGTGGCCGCTCGAAGACGGCGTTGCAATCGCAGTGTAAAGGGAACATACGGAGACACAGCGAGAGAAAGAGCGAGAGAGAGCGAGAGAGAGCGTCACTCAGTCAGTCAGTCAGTCAGTCAGTCACTCGGTCAGTCAGTCACTTGGTCTCGGGTCCACTTTCGGTCGCAGAGGAGAGGCCGTTTGATTCTTTTTGAGAGGGTTTCACCGGACTTGGTGCAGTACAAAGCGGTTACAGGTTTTGACTGCTGACGGAAGGAAGAGGAGCGAAGGGGTCAGTGAACCATTGGGATTGGCACGTGGCACGTGTTGCTCTGGACGCAATGGCAGACGCAGCAAAGTTGGGGTGAGTCACTGGTGGTGGAAAAGGAGTTTGGCCTATGGCTGTTGGTGGTGGTACTGGTGGTGCTGGTGGTGCTGGTCGTTGTGGTGGTGTTGGGTTTTGTGCACGACAAAATGAGGAAGAGAAGGAAAAGAGAGGAAGTTGATGGAAGTTCTGACGGGCGGTCTCTATGTTTGTTGTTGCTTTGTGTGTGCTGTGTATGCAGGAAGATATTCATTGGCGGACTCTCGTACGAAACAACGGATGGTGAGTCTACTGGACGCTGTACAGTCAAAACTGTAAAGACGAGTGAAAGAAGGAGAAGATGGGATATTGTACTGATACTTTCGTGTGCGTGTGTGGTGTTTTATGACTTGATGTTGCGCAGAGAAGCTCCGTTCGTACTTTGGAGCGTACGGCATCGTGACGGACGCGGTGGTGATGAAAGACCCGATTTCAAGACGATCACGAGGTTTTGGCTTTATTACGTACGCGGACCCCGTTTGTGTGGACAGAGCACTGGCTCAGCCTAATCACATCTTAGACAGTCGTCGAGTACGTTGTTACTGCTTGCTGCTTGTTCTCTTATCGTTTATCGATAGACTTACCGACATGAGTATGATTGTATGCGTCAGGTTGAAGCAAAGCGCGCCGTTCCTCGCGCAGAAAGCTTGCGTGATGTTGGGAGCTCTTCGTTGTCGAGTCGAGGCAGTGGGACGAATCCGATATCGGGTACGAGCGTGAGCAGTGCTGTGGGTACTACGAAGAAGATATTCGTGGGCGGCCTCCATTACGAGACAAAAGATGGTACGTCGTGTTGTGACTGCGCAGCTGATCTATGTAACGTCACGGTCGCCTGCTTTGTGCTGACTATGTTTCGTGTGCGCCTGGCAATGCCGTTCCTTTCTGTTTCAAGCTGACTTTAAGAAGTACTTCATGCAGTACGGTAAGGTAGTGTCGGCCGAAGTGATGTTCAACCGCGAGACGAACAAATCGCGTGGATTTGGCTTTGTGATTTTCGAGAGCGAGGTCAGCGTGGAGCTAGTGTTGCAAGAAAAGAACCACGTGATAGATGGCAAGTCCGTCGAGGTGAAGCGTGCTGTTCCGCGAACGGATATTCCTCCTCCGCGGTCCGTGTCGTCTCGTGGAGACTCTTTCAGTGGTCCGTCTGGACCTGGCTCCGTGGGAAGTCTGGACGACGTGTGCTCTATGACAACGCCACCACTGTCGCTATCTGGTAGTATGCCGTCCGTCAGCGGCCTCACTGCTGCTATGGGGTCTGATAAAATGTGCCGCGCGACGCCGACTTCAGCTAACCTCATGCCGAACGGGATGCTTCGAGGTTACGCTGCCGCTGTCCGCTACGGCGGTCAAGGAGTGTCGAAGACCACCTCGAATGCCGTGCTCTCATCTTCTTCTATGACTAGCAACAGCGACACCAGCAGCACTTACAAGGGCATCAGCCTCGAGTCGTCTTCACTCAGCGGTGTTGCAGACGCTCTCTCTAGTCTCGTGCTCCGTGATAGCGGTGCATCGTGCGGCAGTGGATTTATGGGTGGAAACGGTATTGCTGCATCTCCGCCGCTGTCGGCGAGCTCGTCGCGCGAATCGATGGACCACTTGTTTGACTCGGCCGCTGTGTCATCTACGAACGGGCACTGTTCACCACTAGACACTGGTCTGCATCCTCTCGACAGCGACCCTGTAATTGAGCAGTGGAAGCTATCGCCTAGCTCAGGCCCTCAGCTTGCGTCAGACGCTCCTCTTGCGCCATGTTTCGAGTCGAGTTACCTCTCACACGGGCTGGCGGACGGCAATGCTGAATCGGTGTCGAATTTGTCGTGGCAAGCAGCACCTTGGCAGCAGCAGTCGTGGGGCTCTCCGCCGTTACCGCGAAGTCAACAACAGCAGCAGCAACAACAACAGCACCAGCACCAGCAGCAGCAACCGCCGTTGCCGCCAACGCCAACATCGTTGTTTTCGATGTTTTCGAATAAGCGGAGCGGCGGCACTCCACTGCATGGATCGAGCGCATGGCAGTCAAACGCAGAGCGCGGGTACGGGTACGATGCAAGTACTGCAGCTTCAGACGGCGATGGCTTTGGCAGTGGGACAATGGGCATGGGGTTGTCCATTGATGGTGGTTTCAGTGACAATCGCGTTGGTCCCGGCACGTTTGGAATGCATCCAGAGCGTGGCAACAGCGCACCCTACAGACCATCAGGTGGATTTCTGCAGCAAGAGTATCTACCAACCGACCGCTCACACGAGCAGCAGCAACGCGGGGCAGTTCCTGCTGATCTACCACTCGACTCGACTCCGTTCGAACGGCTGATGAACAGTGACGTGTTATCGAACGCCGACAAATTGCGCCGAGAGCCGTCATCTTTGGATTACAGTCTGCCGTCTTCTGCCGCGGAGTTTCATCGGGAGTTCAGATAGAAAGCAAAAGGACATGGATGCAGCGGGGCAACGCACTTACGACGAAGGCCTGGCGTCTGGACCCCGCCTCTTGTTGGTCTTGATGTTGCATAGAGCCCACGATGTCGCTCACGCATGAGCATGCTCGCACTTTGTTGCCGCTCACGAAGGGGTCAATGTGGAAAACTCGGAGCTCAAGTGATGTTTACTTCGTCTTTGCGGCGTTGGAGTGTGGAGCAGACGTGTCTTACTTGGTACGACGATAAGAAGGACGCTGCGTGTGCAGCAGAACGAGAGGAGTGGGAGCATCGGGAGCGGAGAAAGAGGCGCAGAAGGGGAGCGAGTAGTAGCAAAAGTAGCGAAATAGTGGAGTAGGAGATAGGTAGTACCTAGGTAGTTTTTTGCAGGGCGAGTGAGATGGTGGCAACGAGAAGAAGAGGAAGAAGAAGATCGAGAAAGTGAAGACGAGGATGAAAAAGTGAGGAGAAGAAGGAGAAGAAGAAGACGCACGACGTTATTCATTGACAGTAGCAGGCACCGACATGGCAAATACAAGCGTTGGAATGCACGTTGACTTGGACTTTGTATTGTCAGCCGGCGCGTGTGTCCATTGTAAACACGACACCGGTCTCTACAAAAACGGTCCTCACGATCCAGTTTTGTCCATCTTAGTCAGTATTTCCGACTCTCTCTCTCTCTCATCTGCTATGTCCACGTTACGAGTATACGTCCGCTGTATACACCCCAACTACCGAAAGCCGCTGAAAGTCTCACGTTGTACACACCCACACACGCCCACACACACATATATCTCATGGGCATCGACTGGACGCCTTCGAACGAGGAGAATCAATGGCGTCGCACGTTCTGCCAAGTGCCGTTTCCCACCATCTACGAGCACGCGGACAAGGGCAAGCGCAGTCTCGAGGGCCTCGTGGCGTTCTGTCGTGGCAAAGCTGCGGTCGAGCGCAGTGCGTGCAACGCGCTGCGGGAGCTCCTCCAAAGCGGCCAAACGCACGTGTTGGAAGAGCGGGGGACAGGCAGTCGACGCGCGTTGCTCGAGTTACGGGCGTTCGTCAACGCCACGTGCAGACAGCAGCTGGGGATGGCCCAAGTACTGGACGAACAGGTTGCAGGGCCTCTTGCGTCGTTGCAGAGCGCGTCCGAGGCGTACATTCAGACGCTCAAGAGCGAGATTTTACATGCAAACAGAGCGTACGAAGCTGCGGCGGAAGGTCAGCGAGAAGCTTCGGACTGGTGCCGTCGAGCGACGGTGGAACTGCGTGACGCGAAGGACCGACAGAAGAGAGCGCTGCATGTACGTGGAGAGACAGACCGAACGCGAACAAGTGCTGTTGCGTATGCGTGTGGTAGGAGGCTGACGTCCAGTCCTTTGTTGTCGATGTGTGTTGGTCTTTGGTTGCGTGCAGGAGATCGGTATACCCGAGTTCGAGCTGCAACGACTGGCCGCTCGAGTGGCCAAGTGCGAGGAAGAGCAGGCTCAGGCAGTGCTGGCGCGAGCGCGGACGAAGACGGCGCTGTACAACCGCATCATCTCGCGCGACGAGATGTCCATGGCTGTGAGTGTCGCGTACCAGAAAGCCGAGGAAGAGCGCTTGGATCAGCTCCATGCAAGTCTACGTCGCTTTGTTCGAGTGGAAACGGAACGGCTCGAGGCGTCGCAGCACTTGTTGGCGAAGTTGGCAACGCACGTGCAGAGCTTGAGTCGCGCGGAAGACATGCAGCTGCTCATACACAACCAGCGGGATCCAGACAACCTGCACTTCCAGGGAAAAGCACTGGCGCTGCTGGATTGGCAGTGGAGCAAAATGCACGCGGATCACGGGGGAACGTCTCGGGACTATGCACCGAGTCTGCTTGAGCGTCGAAGCAGCACCGAAGATAGTTCATGCGCGTGGCCTGTGCCACCTTCAGCTTCAACAGCCACGCTGTCTTCTTTGGAACAAGGATCGGCTATCGATGCTGATGCGTTGGACGTGGCTGTGGCTGCACCGGACAGTCCCCATACGCTCCTCACGCAGACCCCAATGAGTGCTGCGCTTCGTCAATTCTTTGCGCGAGATAAAGAGCGCCGCGCCTCGTTGTTCAGTGCAGCAGACGAAAGCGAGGCGAGGGAAGAGCCTCTGCGACCGCCATCTTGCGTTGATAACTGCGGGTCGGGTGTTTCTCCGCAGATGTCCAGCGATAGCCATGAAGCACGAACATCGGCTGAGGCTCTCGTGCGTGAAACGTGCAGGACCGCAGACGGTCGTGCTTTGTTCGTCAAGTGTTTGAACCGACAGCGCAGTCTGGAGACCAAAGTGAAGGACCAAGCGAGTTTCGAAGCACTTGTCGCTTGCTTTGACGCGTTCCTTGATGAGTGTGTTCGTGAAGACGACATCAAAGCCGCGAAAACCGCCATGATTCTGGCTGAGACGTTTTACTATCCGAAGACGCAGGAACAAGGAGGTCGCTCGGACTCGGCTGACGATACTGTTCCAGATTCGTCGCAGCATCAGCATGACGAATGTGCTTCCTCAAATGACAGCGACGCTGACGACTTGTTGCAACGACAGTCTGCATTCGACGCGACTTCCATCGACTGTACCGAGCACACGAGTGAGGAGCTGCTTCAACGCGTCGACGAGCTCCATTCCTTGCTCCATGGTGGAGGACTTGGCCGAGGCGCCACACGGACGTACTTACAGGAAGAAGTCAAGAAGCACAGCATTTGGAAAACGCCGTCGGTACGTTTTGACGCACCTGAATGTGTCATCAACTGGAGTGTCGAACGCGTGCCTGTTTCCTGCCTTGTTCATCACGTAGTTTTGGGAAAAAGCGCTCTTGCTAGCAATTGGCGAAGAACTCCAGCGGACCCCGCAGCCGTGCCCGTGGGAAGAGCTACCGAGCGGTGTTCCCAAACCCGATGGCAAGTCGTTGTTTGCTGTCGTATCGTCATCTTCTTGTCCATGATCCTAACAGCTTGTGCGTGGAACTTCGGATGCTTGTAGGTCTGCCGTCACGCGAAGAAGCCGTGTGTCGTGTGCACAACATTGTGTTTGGCCAGCTCGGTTCGTTCACACTGAGTATGCTCGAGTTTGACGTCCCACTCTTGCAGATCGAGTCGTTTGTGGAGACCATGTGCGACGCGCACGAACTCACGGAAGACCAGCGGTTCCTCCTGCGCAAGAATTTACACGAGATTGTCAATGCAGTGCGGTAATATCAACGCAATTGTGCGAAAGACAACAAGAATCTACGCGTTAGAATGGAAAGGATGCCGTCTGATGGCACAAACGACAGCGTTACAATGCTGTTGGCGCCGTCACCCACCCTAGCTCAACCGTTCAATGACCATCGCACCAGCACCGCCACCCCCATTGCAGATCGAAGCACAGCCGATCGTGGCGTCTTGTTCGCGGAGAATGTGGATGAGCGTGCCGACGATTCGTGTGCCCGACATGCCAATGGGGTGTCCAATCGCAACAGCGCCGCCGTTCACATTTACACGGTCGTGTGGGATATTCATGAGGTGCATGTTGGCCAAGACCACGACTGAAAAGGCTTCGTTGATCTCGTGGTAGTCCACGTCACTCATCTGCAGTCCCGCGTGCTTGAGCGCCAGCGGCACTGCCTTGGACGGCGCAATCGTAAACTCTACTGGGTCCTGTGCTGCATCGGCAAAGCCACGGATACGGGCAAGCGGCGTGACGCCCAGTTCGCGAGCTTTGGCTCCAGTCATGAGCACCATGGCAGCAGCTCCGTCGTTCAGTGACGACGCGTTGGCGGCAGTGATCGTCCCGTCCTTTTTGAACGCCGTGCGTAAGTTCGCAATCGTCTCGATCTTTGTGTTGAACATCTCTTCGTCCGTGTCATAGACCGTCGCGGGGCTGCCGCGCCGGCCACTGATCGTCACGGGTGTGATCTCCGTCTTAAAAAAACCCCTCGCGCTCGCGTCCAGTGCGCGACGGTAACTCGCGCTGGCAAACGCGTCCTGGTCGCTCCGTGTGAAGCCAAAGTCTGCCGCGCACTGTTCGCCGCACATTCCCATGTGCTGGTCGTTGTAGGGATCCCACAGGCCGTCGTGCACGACGCCGTCCACGAGCGTACTGTTGCCCAGGCGATAGCCCGCACGCGCTTTCAGCAGATAGTGCGGCGCGTTGGTCATGCTCTCAAAACCACCAGCCAGCAGCACGTGCTGCTGACCGCTCTGGAGGCTCTGCGCCGCCAGCGCGAGCGTCTTCATGCCCGAGGCACAGACCTTGTTGACTGTCGTGCACGGAATGGACGTGGGGAAGCCTGCTTTGAGCACGGCCTGACGCGCGGGCGCTTGGCCGATGCCGGCGCTCACGACGTTGCCGAGAAACGCCTCGTTGATCTGTGCGGGCTCGAGGCCGGCGCGCTTGACCGCGTCAACGCTCGCGATTGCGCCGAGTTCTGGCGCCTGGAGCGGCGCGAACGAGCCGTTGAAACACGCAATGGGCGTGCGCGCATAGCTGGCAATGACCACGTCCGTGTCGGCCACGCGCGTGCTGAACAGGCGGTGGCGCGGCACAAGGGAAGGGACACGGCGCAGCATCGAGAGTGATGGTCACGTGCGCTTGAGGGCGCAAAACGAAAAGTGACGTCAAGTGCAACGTTGACGCGGTCGAAGTGGGTACACTCGTCGTCGAGTCTGGTGATTGGATGCATTCACGTGGTGTGGGGCCAACTTCAACGACGACGTGGACTACACGACTAGTGAAGGTTGCACGACGGTACCGAACAACGACGACGTGGACCACACGACAAGTGAAGGTTGCACGACGGTACCGAACAACGACGCGCACCCGGTCGTATTGACGGACTGGTGGCCATGCCGTTGTTCCTCGAGCAGACGCAGGGCTTTGCGGCACCTGACGGCCGCGTCCCTGCACCGTCTGTCTTTGAGCTGCTGATGCAGGAGCAGATGGAGAAAGGGGTGAAGCCGGCGATTGAGTACGTACTGCATACGCTGTGCGAGTCGCTGCCGAGCGTAGCGCGTGCACTGCCCGTGCGTCACTTGGACGAGAGCTATGCGTTGTTGCAGTTTTGGATCCAGCACTACTTTCTGGCGCGCTACGACTGTCTAGTGACCGAGAAGTTCTACGGCATGAAGCGTGTCGTGCTGCAGACTGTGGCTGATGCAAGCGCTGAACCAGTGACGTCTGCGTTGACTCCAAGAGCCAAGACACTCGCGCTTTTGTTTGCTGTAGGTCTTTTGTGCAAGAACTCGTTGTGGATGTTTTTGCGGTTGACGTGGTTTCCTTAGTAGTAGCAGTAGTACTGTGTTGATTACGTTGCGTACAACTGACTGGCTGATGTTCGTTGTTGCAGGTGGTAGTACCGTATCTGAAGCTGAAGCTGGATACGTATCAAAAAGAGACGGCAGAGCTGTTATCCAGAACAGCCGTGCAAAGCGCAAGTAATAGTGCAAGTGCAAGCTCGAATACGGAACAGCGGTATGGACGCTTTTTGCGACGTTTGCGAAGCATTGCGTGCTTGCAGACGCTAAGAAAGAGCTTTGTTGCGACGTATCCGTTCGCACACTTAGCGTACGAAGGGTCTTTCTTCGTATACAAGTGGCTGTATCTGTTTGGAGATACGCCATTCTTTTCGCCGTTTTTCAGGTGCATGAAGACGATTCTCGTGCGAGCGACTGCAGAGGATGAGGAAACGATTCGCCGCAATGACATCGCATACCGCAAAAAGGTGATCGAAAATATGAGTGGGTCGGGATTGTATGACCGGACCCGCCAGCTTGCGGTTCGCATGGCGTGGGCAACGTCCGATCACTCGTACATGTTGCTGCTACTGGGTATTGCAGGGTATAAGTTTGTCGAGTGGATGTACTCGGAAGAGGGTGTGTCGGCCAAGCTGCGGTATACTGGAAGCACAGCGCCAGTCCCACCTCCACCACTACCGCCGCAATTTTCGGGCCAAGCGTTAGCAGTAGCTGCCATGGATCCTGCATTTTGCCCGCTGTGCAAGCAGAAACGCGTAAATGCTGCTATGATTGACTCAGGATACGTATTTTGCTATCCGTGCATTTACCGGCACGTTGAACATCATGGAGAGTGTCCGATTACGCAGATGAAGTGTGAGCTGACCTCTATTGTCAAGATCTACGACGACGCACGAGAGCTGTAAGCAAGACGAGTGGTTACGTTGTGAGTACGCCGGTTGAGCGGAGTGCAGTACGACCGACTGATGCCGTGATCGGAAGCAGTTTTGGCAAGCGCTTTGCATTTGTGACTCTGACTACCAGCTATTGATGCACCTGACGCAAAATCGGGTATGAAGCAAGCGGATATAGTGAGCTGATATCGTCGAATGCGTTCGGCAGCGGAGATGGCGAGGTGAAGGCTCCGTTGAGCAATGCACTGTTCTTTGAGCCAGTATATGGAAATTGGCTGAAGGCATACACCGAGGAGGTATACGCACTACACACTGCCTGATCGCTGGGCAAGCTACATATTTTGCCTGGTTGAGGGTCACGGCGATCACAAAGTTTGACACCGGTGAGATTAGCCAGCGGGAATGATGCTACGGAGAAGTCGATGTCGACGAAGTCAACGATGCTGTAATGAAAGGGATAGAGGCTGCGCGCTGGTAACGACTCGCTGCTGTCGCTGATTTTTTTCGCCCAACTGGCGTATGCCTTATTGCGTGTTGCCGGATGAAGTATGCAGGTATGATGCTATGCTAGCTGCAGTTTCAGGTCCTCGATCTGAGATCGTTGCCGCGTTATCGAAGTGGACGACAGCGGACGTGTATTGTGATGCTAGCGATGCACTGTACCTACTCTAATTGTCATGCAGAGCATTGAGTAAAGCTTTGACGTATGTCAATGAATGTCGCACTCGTAAAATGTGTACGCAACCTGTCCACATTCTCTGCCGTTGCAGCATTCCTGTCTGCCAAATCTTTGCTTCCAGTTGTGGTAGGCTTTCTGGCGTCCATCGTCACTATCGAATCCACAAGCGCGCGACAACGGCTCCATGAGATCGTTGTAAGACTGAGAAACACCAGGCAATCAAACTGCGTTCATTCAGCACCGATAGCTGTATACAATTCTCTTTTTCACTTGCATTGTCCAACATCGCCATCGTTGTCCTCATGTTTGCTCACATCGAGATGCCACCTGATGCATATGATGCTTGGAATCTTCTGAGGCCGTGAGTACGACGGAGAGAAATTGAAGTTGTTCTTGCTCACGACTTCTGTTTGTCTATGTCACCTGTATCCGCACATACCGTGCACAGTTGAAAGTGAGGTCGTTACGACTTCTCATAGTTTAATAATCACGTTGGGGCGTCCACATGCTTGGCCCATGCACGAGATACATACGTCTGGTGTTGAGATGGGCACACGCTCGACAAATCGATCACGGTCGCGAAAGCGACTATGAAGTCAGCAAACTGATGAGTCTTATGTATCGGACACCCGAGCGCACGTCAAAGGGCTCCAGCACGACGGTACGTTCTTCCCTGTATACAGCTTACCAGTTACACGAGATCTTTACAACGTATCTGTCAGTCAGCAATGGAGGAGTTACTGCGGTAAAAGCGTATCGTGTTCTTCGAGAGTGTAAGTGTAAGTATGACAATGTGCTGGACCGTCATCGCGGCTTATCCGTTGTTACACGAACACCGTTTTCAGTTCATTATCAAAATGTAATTGGCAATCGCCTACGCGAGCACGTTGTGGTAGAAGCAGTCAACGAGATCGCACTGATTCGTGCACAGAACTCAGCCACTGCAGTCTATTTCCAAACGCAGCAGCGAAGGACACAACAAACTCGTCAAGCACGATCTGCTTACACGGCCATCTGGGCAGACAAAAGATCGGGATAGCATAATGAGCCGCATTTGCTGAAACTCCGATACAAAGTGACATGCCAACTCTTCGGGCCGTGTCGTAGCATCGACCAATGTGTCGAGTTATTACAATGATGTTGTATTGCTTCTTCATGTTATCAGACTTTGGTTGAGCAAGTTTGTCCAGAAAGACCAGCCGCGGTCTCATGAGTCGTCGCTCGGATCAATGACGACCTCTTTCCGGCGTGTCTGTGCGGTAAACGCACTCGGTTTACGACACGACCTGGTGGTCGTGTCTCCTCGTTGTCCACCCTGTTCAACCACCTCCAGTGCTCTACACGATTTCTACGATCCCACGTTCCCAATATCCTACGACTATTACGCTCACAAAGTCAAGTCAGTGTTTGGTTCTCACTGTTACTCGATTGTGTCGGATGTTGCAGCTAACAAGGCGATCGAACCTGCATGGGCTTTCGATTGTCCAAAACACCTCGTTTCACTATGCCAGAAGACGTCGCGGCCTCGTTCGAGCGCATGTTTTTTTACTGCATCTACAGCGTATCTAGGGCACTACTATTTTACACAAAGGGACCGTCGATTCAACGATGTTGCCCATCATCACCGTTGCAAACACATCGACCATCACTCTTTGTACCCATTTTTTCATGTCGACCCAATTTTACAAATTCCGTCCTCGCTGTTCACAATGAACCGACTGCTGCAGCACTTTGTGGACTCAAACGGCGCGCCACGCGCGACTGCTCCGTCGCGTCTGCCCGTGCCCGTGCCGCCGCAGTCGTCCGGAGGTTCGTATCACGGCAGTAACCGGGGCTCTTACCAGCGCGCCGCGCCTGGCAGCCCATTTTTCTACCAGCCCGCGCACGTCGGCGCCAGCGGATTGGCTGAAATTCCGCTCACGTCGTCGTCGAGTGGCGCTAAGTACGAAACCGTCGACTTGAACGCTGACACGAGTCGGAGCCAAGCACAGCGACAGTCGTACACTGAAGGGATTACCGGTGTCGGTACTGAAGATATCGGTACAACAAGGGCTCACATGTTCCGTGACAAGTCGGTTGAAGCCGGTCCAGAAGCGGAACGGTTGCCGTCTGGGGTACTACACAGTACAGGGACGGGCCAGTTGACACCCGTGGAAGCGACTGTGAAGGGGATGCAGGAACGTGGTACCGAACAGAGTGGTACCACTGACACGTCGGTACCGTCGACTCGTCGATGGTCGAATGGGCACATGGCAGTCGTACCGTATCCGTCAGTGCAAGACGCCAATCGTCGGAGGACAGCGTCGGCTACGAGTAGCGCCATGTCGACAATGGAGGACGTTGGTACGGCACAGAAAGGAGAGGGCGTATTCGCACGACAGATGGTGCAAAATGATTCGCCCACGACATTTTGCAGGGACGAGCATGGAAGTGGGTACAACACTACTCGAGCGTTTGCAGCAGAAGTTTGCAGTCAAGTGTCAGATTCGGTTCAGCCATTGGAGAAAGAGACGGGATATCAACGACGCGATCGAGACCAGGTGGACGGTCAATTGACAATGGTGGAGCCCGAAGCTGCTGCGTCTTTCCATGTCGGCAAAAGTCCGTTTGAATCGCCTGATGTAACGAACGAAAATCGTCAGTGTCAGGATTTGCCAAGTGCTGATAGCCTGTTTGGGTCTCCTGCACCGATGAACAGCGGAGTCTGGCCGCCTGCTGCTTCATTTGCGCAACCAGCATCGAAACCGGCGCAATCGCAGGACTTTTTTGCAACTAGAGCACCAACTGCAAGCAGCTTGTTCGACGGAGGTGCGTCCATGTCGTCACGAGACAGTCAGATAACGCCGTCTCGTGCTGTGAGCAGAGCTCCACCCGTGCCACGCCATCCTCCGAGTAACCTGGCATCGTCATCAATTCAGTCCGGAACTGGTGCTTCGTCTTCTGTGGCAATGTCTCAGGCAGCAGTTGCACTGGCGCCGTCCAAGTCGTCGTACGTGGGCACCCCGCCACTGCTGGCAAGCGATGTAAGAGTCTCAGCGTCTTCGGTTGTGCGATCCGAAAATCACTTTACTCGTGCCGCGGGTTCCAGGAAACTATCTGCCTCCGGTGAGTCCTTGATGAAGTTTGGGCTAGACGTACGGCAGATGAAGTATCAGGCAGGCAAGCGCGAAGATGATGCTGTTTCTAATGCTCCAAGCATAGCTTTAAGTCGGATGTCGATGCTATCGACGCTGGATGATTCGCTGAAGCTGTCGGACATGTACAAGCAAATGACTACACGATTGCAGCGTGAGAAGCAAGACCTGCTCAAGGTGGTATCAAATCAGGCTGAAGAGATTGCGTACCTGAAGAAGCATATTAAGTCGTTAGAGCTGCAGATGAAGAAGCAGCATTTGGCTCGGGATGCATAGCCGAAGATGTCGAGCGAAGAGTAAAAATTACGGGTGGAAGACGCTTTGATGTTGATATGGGGAAGTGAGCTTGTGTAGAGTATGAATGTGGTGTTGACAAAGGATGCTCATGCGATCTGTGTTGACGGTGAAGCGACTGCCTGTTGTAGCACGCGTCACGAATATTGAAAACGCCAGTCTTTTTGCTGGCCATGCCCTCTATTGTGCCAAGATCAATGGCCAAGTACTGCAAGACGAACAGCGTGCACGTATGATTGAGCAGGTGGGAACGCATACAAGAGGAGTGGATTTGGCCGCCGTGCACTACCTGCCTGAGGTATAGGAGGGATCACAAGTTGATCGCGTGTTTCGACTAAGTTTGTATAGCTTAGAATATGAACACGAGGTCGAGACCTTGACAGCAAGTAGAAAACAAACCCCCGATCATCACGGATATGAAAAGATGTCCTGCACGATATGAGAAAGAAGCACAGAAAAAAATAAAGCGAACAATAATGCGCTACAAGATGATATAGAAGATGCACCAAATAGTCCAAAGGTAGAAAAATGCACCAGTGATGTTTGGTGTACGACCGGTATACGCATGTCTGGGATCATTCCAACTCATCTACGCATATGCACTTCATCCCCTTCTTAGGCCATTAAATCAAAGACCTATGCATTTCAGATTGTCCATAGGCCAGTTGCACGCAAAAAAGTAGTATAGAACACATCAGTGGTGCATTTTGTTATTTATTTGGTGTATTCGTATACTTTCCAATCTAGTAGTATCTTTTTTTCTCTTTTCTTATAGCGCGTTTACAAAATCATACGTGTTTATAAACACAATCCCACGATTTTCACCCCCACACTTCTTGTTCACCACAATTTGCCATTCGTGCTTTTCCACGATCAGAGGCGATATACAAAGATACTGAGACCAGCAGCATACGCGTAGACAGGCTCCCATCGCCAATCGAAGTGCCAATATACAAGCATTCGCACTAAGCAATACTTTGACATGGGTGTGTGACCTGTGCCCATTTCTCAAATCTCGATAGACCTCGTGCCGTCGGCGCGACATGTGGTCGTTTCACACGGCCCTCTAGAGGTCTTGGGGTATCGTGATATGACTATTGCTTCTTTTTCGAGAATTTCCAAGTTCGACTTACGGCACGGCCGTGCTTGTCGGCGATGTAGTGGATGATTGAATATCAGGACTTTCTGATTGGAAACCAAAAGAGATATGATTGCATAAGGTAGATGAACCGACTAAACGGTGACGGATTGAAGTGGATTCACACATTGCAAAGTTGTTGATTATTATCGCTGTATGCGAACTGTGTCCATCTGCAGCTCACCTGATCCAGCCTTGTATGCAGTGCAGTGAGTAATGTCTCGTCTGCTGTTCGCTAACTCTAGCCTGTATATTGTCTACGAGGCGTTGGCCTCCTTGTGCTTCTAAAGCATAAGGACGCCACTACCTGTGAGGAGAGTGATTGAACCTACACACCAGGACCCAGAACATCACCATTCGTGTATCGTAGAGTCGATTTCTTGACCAACGAGGTGGCTCTGCAAAGCCTAGTAAGCATGTTTATCATTTCTATACGTCATCACACATAGGTCAATAAGAGTTGTGTGCTGTTCGTTTGTCTCAATGCGGTATAGTCATTATACGAAAGCGGGATGGGGAACGACGTCCACCGATGGTAAAAAGCGGGTCAGTTTCATGTCATAGAACTCCTGAAGTCATGAATAAGGGGAACGATCCTATGACGCCGGAGGAATCTTAAGTATACGTTTGCCTCGATCCGGGACCGGGTATCATCCGAGCGACGTCGTTTTCCGGTCGCAAACATACAAAAGAGCAATTTAGAAGAGCTGGCTGATGAGTCGATGAATTTAGAAAATTAACGGATTCGGACAAATGACCATTAAAGGATCGAAGTCAAAGTATCCGTGTGGGACTCATTCTGTACGGGATCGGACATATGACCAATCAGTTCTTTGGATTAATCGATCCACACGGGGTATTCTACGCGGGACTGGTGACCCCACCTACTCAGAACGATCTATTGCAGCGGGCATCGGACGAAAAAACCTGCGACATATACGAGTGTATATACAAATATCGTTATGTCACTGAGGACCGCCATGGTCATGACGGGTAACTTGAACCTGTATCGATAACACGCATTCCGATCCCAACTGATGAACAATGAACTTGTTTAATGGGGATCCAACATGTAATTCATAAGTGTTTTGATGAACGTGCGACACTTAGATCAATGGCCATATTACCCCAGAGGTGTATCAATGTCTGAGTTGGTACGTAAGATACTGTTATATCGGCCATCTTTGAAACATGTCGTGACTGCATAGCAATATACACCCGAACGCATAGAATGTGCATGAGAGATCGATATCATGGACAACCAAGATCATTAGTATGGTTGAAGGTGCTCGTTGAGATTAAAGTGCTTCAAAAAAGGTAAGAGACAAAATTTTCGAATATTCAGGTGCGAAGACCCCGTGAAAGATATCGGAATAGACGCCAGATGGATGATTTGGGTACGTAAGGCACAATAATTGGTATTTGATACAACGCTATTATGTGTGTGATGTGAATGTGTATTTCACAATATTGTGTTATATACTTTAAATCTATTTCTTAGCTCCAAATCTTTTAAGCAGTATATCATATACTGGCCCTTTTTCTAGAGTACGTGCCACGGATTATCAACAACACACTACAGTGTAATCTTGCAAGACATTTATTTTGACTTATGAATACTGCGCAGTGTAGAATTTGTAGGTCGATAATCTTCCATTCAGTCTTATTGGGTCAATAAACATTGTGTTTAGCGATACTAGCAAACACGTGTCACCAAGCCGGTGGGCTTCACTACTAAGAAGGGTATTTGGTCTCCCGACGACCAAGAGACTCGAACACACCTCGTCGAATTCGCCTTCCCTAGAAGCTCGTACAGTGTGGGATAACAAAACCCCCCCAGACTCTTTTAGCTGCGTTGGGATGCAGCAAGCAATACAAATGACTGGACATCCAAGATCGAAAAAAAACAGTCCGGCTCACACCGTTCTGGTAAAATTCATAAATTATTCAAATGATCAAAACGCAAGACCACTTGGGATCAAGCGTCCGCAGCATGGAATAAGAGATAACAAGACCGATAGGCGATCTTAAATTAAGATCGACTACTGATTTCAGGTCAGGGTCAACACATGCTCAGATTTCTGTACGAAAATTCCAAACACTGATTACAAAACTCACGTCCTAGCCTGGATGAAAATCTGTCGTCTCTCAAAGCCTTTATTATGCGCCCAAGCCGTATCAAGCCCGAAAGGCACAAGTTGAGCGCAAGATGTATCACTACACGGTTGGGATAACCCTCCGAATGTCGTCAACTCCGAGCGCAGTGGGAAATGGGCCATTTGAACTTCCATGTATGCAAGGCGACTTATCCGAATGTAACAAGCACGCAAGATAGGCAAGAAGCGTACCATCCAATATTCTCCCTTGAATAGCGTCAGCATTTCTTCGATTTTCTTTATCGATACATGTACCTGTGATATAGCACGCACCTTTACTTTCCCGAGCATTTTTTGCTTATCTACAATTAGCTCCTCTCGTGTTTCGTAAGAACCTACCGATTAGTTCCAATTTGTCGATTGCTGTACCGGTCGACCACTTTCCTCGGAGCCTAGATTATCAATTTTAGGAGTGGGTACTCCGATTCCTGTGATATCTAACAAGTCTTGTGCGCATCTTGTGTAACAGTCTTTGCAAACTGGTTTTAGCTCTTCGATACGGTCTTGACGGATGTCGATCTCCCTCGGGGCTCACTTGTCTTGATGCTGAACAATCAACTATCCCTGTAACCGTTTAGTGGACTACAAAATTATTTGGGGGTCAACGATGGCGGTCCGGTCTTGCGGTCACTGTCCGATCCGATCGAGATGCAATCCGACATCCATGTGCTTATATGCCTACAAAAATGGGCAATTTAGTGGATAAGATTTCGTCTCATCCGTGAAATGTATCAATTGTCAGATCGGTCTCGTACTTCATAAATACCTCGCTATCATATTGATTAACATTTTATCTTACTTGACATGTGCGTAATCCTCTTTGTTGACAGTCTAGTTGTCAGATCTTTCTTACATTCAACAAGCCCGGGGAATAGGTCTTGAGAACCCTGTGTTTGCTAAAATTATGTGTTTATGTGTCCCATACTATCTCGTTTTTGATCGAAACTTTCGCTATCTCCTATAAGCGACCTAGGATTTGGGTTATCTTGATGTTTAAAATCCACGGGCCCTAATGCGTCGGTGGCCATGGTTCCAATTTGGGAAGGAACTAATTGTCAAAGTATTCATACAAGAATTTATAACTATATGTATCGATCAGCCAAATCACCATCGCACCTGCAACTGTGCCCTGTTATGTCTTTCAGAATACCATTTGAGGTAACGTTTGCGTTTATGCTTCAGCTATCATGAATCGGTGTCCAAATACTTGCTCCGTAGTGTTTTTGTCAAATACAAGTATGTTGTCTACCTCGATTGAATATATACCTCAGGTAACTGAACTTGTATCCGACATATACTAACTACGCATCAGCACTTTCACGCCGAAATATCACATTGGGTATGTCCAACACCGAATATACGTACCATATACAATCGAGTATATAAAGTGGTCCCATATGCCAATACTGAAGAAAATCAATAGTGCATGTATCGGTTTACAAATATTGTTCTTGAATAGCAGATGTTAGTACCAGCTTTTTAGATATTGTACCCAGTACCATTTTTGACACGAAGCAAACCAGTATATGCGCGTTGTCGATTCGTAAACATTCCACAAAAATGTTTTGGCATCAGTTCTATATGTATGATCATATAGTATCCCTGATATATTCGTCACTGCTGTTCGGATCAACCACGAGAGGGCCTTGTTCAAGTGTGCGGTCGAAAAGGTGCGACAGATAGGGTAG